CATTCTATTTACATAAAGAAACAGATTTTTTGTAATTGGAAATAAGCTGACTGCTCACCTTTTGGTAATCGTCGCCATAACATAAACAACACACATAGTATATGTTATCATGGCATATCCATGAAACCACTATTCGCCATTCTGGAAGACTAATATGTCACATACATGGGTTTTTTTGTAATGCCTTATATAACCCTACAACGAAACACAAAAACAAGTTGCTTGGCGGCTGAAATATTTGAAACAGATTTCTGCCAACTTCTTCTTTATTAGTTGTTATTTCGTACAAAATCTACCGTGATTTAATGATAATCACCAATAATTGGATATTCCATAATAATAGTATAAAAACAGATTAAGCTTTTCGTACCAGCCACTGGAGTAAGTCGCTAAAAGTTTGACCGAGTCTATTTCAGACATGGTGCGGCAGTACCTACTTTGCGCCGAATCTGTTCTATTACATAAAAACAAAAGTGTCATACCTCCAAGATAGCTATTCTCTTTGATATACCACAATGTTCTGCAACATCTAGTTATATGCACTACTCTTTACCGATTACATGATTGAGTTTAAAATTCCTCAGGGGAATTAACAGGTTGCAACACGCGACGAGCTGGAAGGAATTATTAACATAAGAATAAAAACGTTATTTTATTTTAACATATTATAATTATGTACGGGTATGCGTAAAATGATTATGAGCGCATAATTTTGTCTAAGTGATGTATCAGAAACTGAATTCTAAGTACTATTAGTCTAAAACTTTAAAGGGTCTTTTAAGAACTGCCTCTTATATTTGCACGTGACAAGCTATAAGTCGCCTGTGCCATCTACTCGTACCTTATGTCTCACCGGTAGTTGCCACTTACTACATTTACCAAGAGTGTAGTTTTGAGGTTCTTTACGACGCTGTCGAAGCAGAAACAGTTTTATCGCTGTTCCTTGCCCTAGTTTTAAAGTGCTTTTCTATCTAAACCTAGGTACCGATGACACTGACAGAAATTTAAAAAGGTAAGTCCGTTTTTGTTAAATTATACTGTTTACGCCATATAGACGGCAGAGACGGCAGATCGGGGCAGAGGGGGCGGCACACATCAATGCGAACATAGCACCGCGGTGCATACGATCATACAATTCAATTGCTATAATGGATCATAAGACGGTACATACAGACGATAATTTCCACATATATATATATATATATATATATATATATATATATATATATATATATATATATTAGGGTGTCCCTTATATGGGTGAAAAAAATTTTTTTTCAGATATCGAAATGCATACCCCTTAATTCTTTTTAAACTACCTAAACTTAATCAAATACAAAATTTTATCTTTATATGTCAACATTAACCCGTGCCGACAGAGCCTTGAATATTTTAAAAATCGTTGTCTTTAACGCTTGTCGTTGTGTATGTGTAATAAAATGAAATAAAATGTTTAATAATAATAATCAAAGAGAAAGTTAGAATATAGTATTTATTAATCAAATGAACATCACAAATATTTTCTTTTAAGGGTCTCTTTTTTACAGTCTGGATACAGATTTCTATGCTCTTACACAAAAAACTCTTGTAGGTACGCAGGAAAAACTGTTTTTGATATTCTTTTGCAGTGACTAAGCCATTGAAATCTTGCATAAGTTTTACAGCTCTTTCAGCTGTATCATTCACGGCCCTTAAAGAAAGAACTCTTGTTTTAGCCTGCAAATAGGTTACATCTTCGTCCCATGCAGAAACGGTTTTCTTTAAGAAGTCTGTATCCATATTTAAACGAGCAAATAAATTTGTGCTCTTAACAGACACAAAATCATTTAATGATTTTCCTGCAACAAAATACAAGATATATTATTATCAGTTTATTAAGATGGATATAAGATATAAAACTATTTAATTTTTAAATTAAATAACTTAATACGGTTTAATTATTACATTTATCAATCAGGTCAGGTCTAGACCAACCAAATATAAAAATATGATAAACGCGATAAAACCGATTTAAATTAAAATGTGTAACATTAAAAAAAACTATACTAAAATAAATGTTATGTATTTCTACTTACCATACAAATAATCAGACATATCTTCTTTCGATGGACTGTATCTTTTTACAGAATCATATAAACTATCTCTTTGTAAGTTCGCTACAATATTCGTCTTAGTTTGTTCATCTACTTCATCATCAAAGAGTGATAAAACAGCTATGTCTTCTTACAAGTACCAAAAATGTTGACTAAACTTGCTCAGGGCAGCTTTGGAGATCTCTTTATTAACAGTTTCATATTTTAATTAAAAATTATTTTAAATTTTTAATTAAAATATGAAACTTATTACATTATTTTAAAAAGCCCAAAGCTTGATTTGGGGCCGTGACTGCCAGACTATATCGAAGCCATGGTTTTACGTATATAACTGCAATGAATAAACAAATATCTTGAAGGGCTCTTTTATCCTTGGCGCTAATTTTGAATTGAGTTTGCAACAAACATATTTTCAAAGAGTATGTAAATGACTCTAGCCATCCACCTAGCTTGATGCAGAAGGTCTTATTTTAATATTTTTCTTTGACGATTTATTTATCGGGAACTCATCACAGCTGAGATCTAGGGCTTCTACTACAGCCTGAAGTATATAGACAGAGTCCCTTATGCTTAATTGACATCTATCTAAAGTGGCAACTAACTTAGGAGTGATGAAATCTTTCCTTCCTCTTTTTGAAGTAGTTACAGAACTTACCATTTAAGATGTTGATTGGAACATCTTGTCTTTTTTTCTCTTCTTTTAATTTTCTCTGTCTTGTTCTTTTTTCTTTCTCTGCTAACTTTTTATCTACTCCCGCTAAACATCCTAGACGCCCTGGTTCTCTTTGTTTTTGTAAAAATATTTTATCTTCTTCTATTTTTATCCAGTCCAAAGCATTTGCGTGTGCTATATCGAATAAATTATCTAAATTGGCGTTTTTTTTTAATTTTTTTGTAATTCTCTCCAAGCACGGTGAAGATCCTCAAGTTTTTTTACACAGTTAGGCACAGGTCTGGTAGGGATTCTAGCTTTTTCCCAGAATATAATACACTCTCGAACGGCAAGATTTGCGCTTCCATTAACAGTAAATTTAACTTCGCGAATGTTAAAAAAGAGGACTGCAAGAACTTGACGATTAGACGGTAACTTTGCTCCAGTTATTTGATGGTTCACGTCACCAACTAAGAAAATACTTTTTTTATTGCTTCTTAATTCCACTGCCATTTTTTTAAACATAAAAACAATATGTTAATCACAAGAGTTACTGTGAACAAATGGCAAATACGACGGGTGCGCGCCACTAGTTCGGCGTTATTTGTATGAACATGTTTCGATGCAAGTCGGCACGGGTTATCGTTCTCCAAATTATATAAAATTGTATTTTCGAGTGTTTTAGGAACATATGAACAAAACTAAGACCTATGCATTAAAAAATAAAAACTTTGAAAAATAAGGGACACCCTAATATATATATATATATATATATATATATATATATATATATATATAAGTGGAAATTATTTTCACAATAAACGTTTGAAATAATAATAACTAGTAAATACTACTAATATATACTAATAATAACTAATAAATACTAATAACTAGAAACAAACGCGAATCGTAACCGCTTCAAAAAGTATAATTATTTGAATACAATTCCACTTTTATTACATATTGTATATTGCATATATGATCGCCAATTTGAATGAATGAATGAAACTCTTTTCGTTCCTCTCACAGAAAATACAATTACATATACAATTATGTATAAAATGATAAAAAAAAATATATATATATATAATACAATAAACAAGACAAAGAGGTAACAATGGGCGGCCTTAACGCTAAAAAGCGATTTCTCCAGGCAACCTTAGGATGGAGAGAAGTGATTAGATTTGCGTCTGGTAGAGGTGTAATGACGGTAACAATATTGGAAGAAAAGTTATAAATGTACATATAACATAATACAATACAAAATAATATAATAAACTTACATATACATACATATATATGAATATATATACAATCACACATACATACGACCGTAATACTACTATTACGACAACTTACGTAAATAGTGGTTTTTGATACCTAATTTGAAGCTCTGCAGTGATTTTAATCTTCGAACAGATGTGGGCAGTTCGTTCCAAAGACGAACAGCTAACACACTAAACGATTTGTCGTAGAATGTAGTGCTATGTCTTGGTGTCTTTAACTGGAGACTCTCTGACGACCTAAGATCAACGCTATTCGAGGCATAGAGGAAGGTAAACCGCTCCTTCAAGTAGAGAGGAGTTGAAGGGTTATAAAGAATGTTATGAAGAAGGGTAAGAAGGTGAGTGTTCCGACGAAAGCGAATGGGAAGCCACTTGAGTTTAGTGCGAAACTCGGAAATATGATCATATTTTCGGAGACCGAAAATAAATCTGATAAAAATATTTTGAAGTCGCTCAAGTTTATTAAGTTGGACTTCTGTAATATTGGGGTAACAGGTGTCAGCGTAATCAAGTATCGGATGAAGAAGAGATTGAGACAACGCAATTTTGGTAGCAATAGGCAGGAAATTGCGAAGTCTTCGTAGTGAGCCTAAAGTTGCAAATACTTTCTTGCTAACGGCTTTTATTTGGTTTCCCCAAGTTACGATTTTCGTGGCGAGTGAAGGATGAAAGGATAAGTCAGTTAGGGATTGATCACGATGGTTTCTAGGAGGAACCGCGTGGAGGTCAACATGGTTGCTCGCAATGGGTTATCTAAGACAGGTATCTATATGGATGCCTAAGTGATGTGTAGCTACCTACCTACCACTATTATTATGACTACCTCCTAATAATATTAGAGAGCCTGTAACTCAAACACAGTCAGTAATAAACCAGTACTTGCGCATAACAGTTGTTTCTATTACTACCGTGTCACCTTATACATATCAGTGGCGACGAGGACGATCTTACCTGCAATAAAAATTAAAAATGTCTTTTATAGGAAATTTACCTATCTTTGACTATAAAAACTGTGAGTGGTCTATTTTTATAGGTAGATTGACTCAGTTTTTAAAAGTGAATAATGTGAAGGAGGGCAATAAATCTGCAATACTGATTACGCATTTATCAGACAACTCATACCGTCTCGTGCGTAACCTAGCTTACCCTGAAGAATCGGAGGAACTGAGTTTTGTACAACTGGTGGTGTTACTCGACAGCCATTTTAAACCGAAACAGTGTTCATTTGCTGACAGAGCAAAATTTTACGGCGCCACAAGAAATTGCGGCGAGTCGCTGGGGGACTGGGCAGCACGACTAAGAGGATTAGCAAGTTACTGCGACTTCGGTGTTGCCCTGGACACAAACCTTATGGACCGGTTCGTCCTAGGCCTGGGGTCAGGCCCCGAGCGTGACAAGTTGTTTGAACAAAATGTTTCCGAGTTGAAGTTAGCTCGTGCTATAGAAATAGCGGAAAAGGCAGAATGTGCTAGAGATGCGAAGTTCCTAGTATCAGACTCAGTGGCTGTAAAAGAAGAAGTCATATATAAACTATCGCACAGCTCGACAGGTAGAAAAAATGGCGGCGAAAACAGTGGCGGCAGTAAATATGGCGGCGGGATGAATTCACGAATGGCGTGTGCATCACAAGCGGGCCGCGATCAACATAAGTATTTACGCGATTTACATTGTTTAGTGTGTGGTTTAAAAAACCACAGCGAAGATAAGTGCCGTTATAAAAACAACAAGTGCCAAAAGTGCGGTAAAAAAGGGCATGTAAAAAAAATGTGTAATAAAAAAAATAAAAGTGTTTATGTAAACCAAATCGAAAACGAAAATAATGATACGGATAGTGATACCGGATGTGGCGAGTGCCATAACTTTAATTTAAGGTATGTAATTAATAATAAGCCGATCCAGATAGATTTATTATTAAGTAACAAAATGGTGACTATGGAGTTAGACTCGGGGTCGGGTATATCAGTAATATCAAAAAATATATACAACGATAAGTTTTTGATGCATAATCTAATTCATAGTAATATTAAAATGTGTTTGTATAATGGACATAAAATTGCGCCATTAGGGCATTTCGTGAGTGAGGCTACATTTAATAATGAAATAAAACCGTTAAAAATATTTGTAGTAGATTCAAACGGCCCACCCCTGCTGGGACGTGATTTTATGTCCTCTTTTGGTCTGATGTTGACTACAAATATTAATAAGTTCAGTCAGGATGATAATGTAAACACATTGCTGGAACGATATCCTAATTTGTGGCGAAATGAACTGGGTAGTTTTAATAAGTTTAGGGTTCAATTACAATTGAAAGAAAACGCCGTGTAAATATTTTTTAAAGCTCGTACCACACCCTTTGCCTTAAAAGATAAGGTGGAAGCGGAATTAAATAGACTTGTAAAATTAGGTATATTAGTTCCAGTAAATAATTCTAATTATGCATCGCCTATAGTACCGGTGTTGAAGAACGACGGTACAGTGAAAATTACCGGTGATTACTCTATTACACTCAATAAAGATTTAATCATTGATAAATATCCTTTACCGAGGATTGAGGTGTTTGCAAAACTAGGTGGGGGTGAACAATACTCCAAAATTGACCTAAAAAACGCATATAATCAATTTATCTTGTCCGACGACTCACAAGTATTAACAACCATAAATACACCGAAAGGGCTATTTAAGTATACGCGTCTCGTCTACGGTCTCGCTAATGCACCTGCTGTATTCCAAAAATCAATGGAAATATTGCTGTCAGGCATAGATGGTATCAGTAAATGGTTAGATGACATCTGTATAACAGCTCCCACCAGAGAAAAACATTTAGAAAGGTTAGAACAAGTATCGAGAATATTAAACGACGCAGGGTTAAGGTTACAAAAGGACAAATGTGAATTAAAAAAAAAATATAACATATCTAGGTTACGTAATTGATAAAACTGGTTTACGTACAAGTCCTGAAAAAGTAAAAGCTATAATGAACGACCCAGAACCCACTAATGTCACAGAAGTAAAAAGGTTCTTAGGTATAGTCAATTACTATAGAAATTTTATACGGAACGCGTCGAGTATAATGAGCCCACTTCACGAGTTGTTAAGAGATGGCACTAGGTGGGAGTGGGGCGAGCGGCAGTGGCGCGCCGTGCGCCGCGTACGCGCTGAACTTGCATCGGAACGGGTGCTGGCGCACTTTGATCCCGAGGCGCGGCTTGTACTACCGTAGACGCCGGGCCCACCGGTCTCGGGGCGGTATTATCGCAACTCGATACTGAGGGTCGGGAGCGCCCTCTGGGATTACGGTTCCCGTTCACTCTCAAAAAACGAACGGAATTATAGCCAAATACAGAAAGAGGCCACTGCGATAATAGCCCAAGAGCCCACGACTGCCAGACATACGTCATTTTAATAAACGAGAAAGTTCTTGTATGTGTGTCCCCAACACAGGTAAGAACGATCCCCAAATATGAAACCTGGATCGTGGTTCCTTTGGCAGGTACCAGGTAACAAAGGTGTAAAAAAAATCATACCAAATTCGTTATTTTAAGAAACTCCATATTTTCATATATTGTTCGTAGCACTATTATAACTTGCGCTGCTCATTGCCAGACACGTAGTGTGGTTCCAACCCCCCGCCGGACCCCCCTAAACTATACTATTTTAGAAATAAACTTACGTCATTTTAATAAAGCTGAAATTTATATATATTATTGAGAGTTCTCTCAAACTGAGTTTCCTAAATTGCCAGACAGTTTTCTTGGTTCTTTATCCTACCAGACTCATTGAAACCGTATATTGGGTAACAACGGTGTATACAATTTCATATCAAATTCGTTATTTTAAGATGCTCCATTTTTTCACATATTGCTCGTAACAGTATTATAACTTGCTCTGCTCATTGCCAGACCCTTAGTGTGGTTCCAACCCCCCGCCAGACCCCCCTAAACTATACTATTTTATAAATAAACTTACGTCATTTTAATAAAGCTGAACTTTATATATATTATTGAGAGAACTATTAAACTGAGTTTCCTAAATTGCCAGACAGTTTTCTTGGTTCCTTATTCCACCAGAATCATTGAAACCGTATATTGGATAACAACGGTGTATACAATTTCATGTCAAATTCATTATTTTAGGATGCTCCATTTTTTCACATATTGTTCGTAGCATTATTATAACTTGCGCTGCTCATTGCCAGATACGTAGTGTGGTTCCAACCCCCCGCCGGACCCCCCTAAACTATACTATTTTAGAAATAAACTTACGTCATTTTAATAAAGCTGAAATTTATATATATTATTGAGAGTTCTCTCAAACTGAGTTTCCTAAATTGCCAGACAGTTTTCTTGGTTCCTTATCATACCAGACTCATAGAAACCGTATATTGGGTAACAACGGTGTAAACAATTTCATATCAAATTCGTTATTTTATGATGCTCCATTTTTTCACATATTGCTCGTAACAGTATTATAACTTGCTCTGCTCATTGCCAGACCCTTAGTGTGGTTCCAACCCTCCGCCGGACCCCCCTAAACTATACTATTTTATAAATAAACTTACGTCATTTTAATAAAGCTGAACTTTATATATATTATTGAGAGAACTATTAAACTGAGTTTCCTAAATTGCCAGACAGTTTTCTTGGTTCCTTATCCTACCAAACTCATTGAAACCGTATATTGGGTAACAACGGTGTATACACTTTCATATCAAATTCGTTATTTTAAGATGCTCCATTTTTTCACATATTGCTCGTAACAGTATTATAACTTGCTCTGCTCGTTGCCAGACCCTTAGTGTGGTTCCAACCCCCCGCCGGACCCCCCCAAACTATACTATTTTATAAATAAATTTACGTTATTTTAATAAAGCTGTAATTTATATATATTATTGAGAGTTCTCTCAAACTGAGTTTCCTAAATTGCCAGACAGTTTTCTTGGTTACTTATCCTACCAGACTCATTGAAACTGTATATTGGGTAACAACGGTGTATACAATTTCATATCAGATTCGTTATTTTAAGATGCTCCATTTTTTCACATATTGCTCGTAACAGTATTATAACTTGCTCTGCTCATTGCCAGACCCTTAGTGTGGTTCCAACCCCCCGCCGGACCCCCTAAACTATACTATTTTATAAATAAACTTACGTCATTTTAATAAAGCTGAACCTTATATATATTATTGAGAGAACTATTAAACTGAGTTTCCTAAATTGCCAGACAGTTTTCTTGGTTCCTTATCCTACCAAACTCATTGAAACCGTGTATTGGGGAACAACGGTGTGTACAATTTCATATCAAATTCGTTATTTTAAGATGCTCCATTTTTTCACATATTGCTCGTAACAGTATTATAACTTGCTCTGCTCGTTGCCAGACCCTTAGTGTGGTTCCAACCCCCCGCCGGACCCCCCCAAACTATACTATTTTATAAATAAATTTACGTTATTTTAATAAAGCTGAACTTTATATATGTTATTGAGAGAACTATTAAACTGAGTTTCCTAAATTGCCAGACAGTTTTCTTGGTTCGACAACGATCAGAGCAAGTTATAATACTGTTACGAGCAATATGTGAAAAAATGGAGCATCTTAAAATAACGAATTTGATATGAAATTGTATACACCGTTGTTACCCAATATACGGTTTCAATGAGTCTGGTAGGATAAAGAACCAAGAAAACTGTCTGGCAATTTAGGAAACTCAGTTTGAGAGAACTCTCAATAATATATATAAATTTCAGCTTTATTAAAATGACGTAAGTTTATTTATAAAATAGTATAGTTTAGGGGGTCCGGCGGGGGTTGGAACCACACTAAGGGTCTGGCAATGAGCAGAGCAAGTTATAATACTGTTACGAGCAATATGTGAAAAAATGGAGCATCTTAAAATAACGAATTTGATATGAAATTGTATACACCGTTGTTTCCCAATATACGGTTTCAATGAGTCTGGTAGGATAAGGAACCAAGAAAACTGTCTGGCAATTTAGGAAACTCAGTTTGAGAGAACTCTCAATAATATATATAAATTACATCTTTATTAAAATAACGTAAATTTATTTATAAAATAGTATAGTTTGGGGAGTCCTGCGGGGGGTTGGAACCACACTAAGGGTCTGGCAACGAGCAGTGCAAGTTATAATACTGTTACGAACAATATGTGAAAAAATGGAGCATCTTAAAATAACGAATTTGATATGAAATTGTATACACCGTTGTTACCCAATATACGGTTTCAATGAGTTTGGTAGGATAAGGAACCAAGAAAACTGTCTGGCAATTTAGGAAACTCAGTTTAATAGTACTCTCAATAATATATATAAAGTTCAGCTTTATTAAAATGACGTAAGTTTATTTATAAAATAGTATAGTTTAGGGGGGTCCGGCGGGGGGTTGGAACCACACTAAGGGTCTGGCAATGAGCAGAGCAAGTTATAATACTGTTACGAGGAATATGCGAAAAAATGGAGCATCTTAAAATAACGAATTTGATATGAAATTGTATACACCGTTGTTACCCAATATACGGTTTCAATGAGTCTGGTAGGATAAAGAACCAAGAAAACTGTCTGGCAATTTAGGAAACTCAGTTTGAGAGAACTCTCAATAATATATATAAATTTCAGCTTTATTAAAATGACGTAAGTTTATTTCTAAAATAGTATAGTTTAGGGGGGTCCGGCGGGGGGTTGGAACCACACTACGTGTCTGGCAATGAGCAGCGCAAGTTATAATAGTGCTACGAACAATATATGAAAATATGGAGTTTCTTAAAATAACGAATTTGGTATGATTTTTTTTACACCTTTGTTACCTGGTACCTGCCAAAGGAACCACGATCCAGGTTTCATATTTGGGGATCGTTCTTACCTGTGTTGGGGACACACATACAAGAACTTTCACGTTTATTAAAATGACGTATGTCTGGCAGTCGTGGGCTCTTGCTCTATAATATTCCGTGTAAAACATTTTCATCGATACTTATATGGTAGAAGTAACCCGTTCGTTCTTAAGACGGACCATCGGCCGCTGGTTTCGATATTTAATAGTAAAATAGGTATTCCGACCACGACAGCGTTACGTCTACAAAGATACGCGATTATCCTATCGGCATATAATTACACCGTTCAGTACATTAGCAGTGAAAAAAATGTGGTGGCTGATTATTTTTCCAGGGCGCCGGTTTCAGATGTAGTATGCAAAAGCGACAAAGAATTCGACGCATACTGTGCCATAAATTTTTTAGACGCGACCTCGTCGGCGGTGTTGTATAACGATGTGGAAGAGGCAACTAAAAATGATAAAACATTACAAACGGTGATCAAATATATGAACGTCGGTTGGCCACGAAAAATTAAATGTAATAGTATTACTCCATATTTTCTATGTAGAACTGATTTACAATTTGAAAATGGTGTGCTATTGCGAGGTCATAAGGTGGTTATTCCCTTATTATTACGTGAAAGAATGTTGCAGGAGTTACACAGTACACATTTAGATATAGTGAAAATGAAATGTAATGCGCGCGGTAGAATGTGGTGGCCAGATATAGACAGTGATATCGAACACTGGAGCGGCGCGTGCGAACAATGCATGAGTGTGCGCCCCTCACCGCCTCGCGCCCCGCCCGTGCCCTGGCCGCGGCCGCCCGCGCCGCCCGCCCGCGCTGGTGTCGCATTCACATTGACTACCTGTTTATAGGGCAACGGGTATGGCTTGAGTGTATTCATATGAATGCCGGCGTCAGTACTCAAGCACTCATAATAAAATTAAAACAGATTTTCTCAGTGTTCGGTATACCTAACACATTAGTTTCGGATAATGATGTTAAAATAAACTGTAAAGAATTTAAAGATTTTTGTTCCAGTAATGGTATTGAATATATTACGTCACCAATTTATTACCCATGTAGTAACGGTCAAGTGGAAAACTCTGTTCGAACTTGCAAAAAAATGTTAAAAATTAGTTTAAAAGAAAATTTAAACCACTGTTATCTAAAGGAAAAATTATTGGGTTATTTGTTCGAATACAGAAATACTTTTGTTCTACAGGTCAATCACCCGCAAGATTAATGTTTGGTAGAAATTTAAGATCAAGACTTGATTTAATACTGCCTAAATTAATAAAAACATCTGATAATAATAATGACGTAGTTGAAACAAACTGCAGATATTTTAAAAAGGGTGACAGGGTACTGGTACGTTGGTACAGCGCTA